GGAAAATGTGTTTTTAACATTTCGCTGCTTTGTTTTTAATATTATTGTCAATATCACACATTCCTTTTTTATTTTGAGAACATCAGTAAATATTAAAGTCTTTACTATGAACTTAATGAATAGATATCTGTTTTTTAAGCTTTTTATGGTGTCATGTTTACATTATCCCCCAAAGGAATAATAGATAAATATTACCCATGCCAATCACATGAACTGCTTCCTAGGATATGTTTAATTGTTTGCATCTATTTATTTGTTTTTCACTTCATCTGCTGTGTAGACATCTGAACAGCTTAATTAACCATCTTCACCCCTGACATTCAAACAGAGCACTGACCATTGTTCATATTATTCCTTGTTATCAAAATACCAGGGTCTTAAATGTTTAATACCAGCTGTCATGATGCTGCATAACTCTGCCAGGTACAACTAACTTTCTTAAAGTTATAAATAATACCCTTCATTTTTTAGATCACTTTACTTTTCCAGATCACTTTCTACTGTGTTTTAGATGGCAGAAACTTAAATATAAAATTAATCACTACTATATTCAAAATGCTGAGAAATATATGAAGTCCTTTTAAATGAAATTAATTTGTATTAGAATCAGAATCTATAATGGTGTAGTAAATTATAGCAAAAAGCTCCAACCAACTGAGTCACACTGACCAGACCTTTTATTTCATTTTTCTTTGTGTACTTTCTATAGATATATTCTCTGTGGTTATCGTGGGAGTAAATAAAACACTTTATAATAATATAATAACTCTATTGTGAACTGATAACTTCAGTCACATACAAATATTTTATTCTTTCACATTCATACCCCATGTTATATTGCTAACGCCAAAAAAAATGATTTTTGTGTTTTGTGTCTATTAACATAGTTTTATAGTTATTTTATGCTTTTATGTTTTATGTCCTATACCTCTATTAAAAGTGACTTACATTCCAACATCATACTTACAAAATTCTGTACTTGTCCATATATTTGCTATTACCAGAAAACTTTTATGTTTTTCTGTGCTTTTAGGTTGCTGTTAGGTGCCCTTTGCATTTGTGGAAGAAAAGGGGTCACACGTTAACCTGACAAGCCCAGCGTAGGTCTGCCGGCAACTTTACACACTCAGAGACCTAAATTAACCACAGAGGATGGTCTGAAATTAAAACTTACTAACCGAGTGCTTTTTATAGTGGATAGTCACGTCCTAGGTCACCATTTTCCCCTAGCAAAAGTCAAGCTGCACCTTAACTAAAACTGTCTACTGTTTTTGGCGTCTATGATAACAGACCTTTGGAATGTCAGGGTAACTTCCTTTTCCCCAAACACCTTGGGCTCAATCAGAGACCACAGATCCCCTCAGTGTCATTGTTATGTTCATTGTTGACTTAAATATCCTTTACCCACTTATGTCAAAGAAGTATGTGTCTATCATTTTACATTTTATCCAGTCCCAGAGGCTTCCCTGCTTTGCTTTCTGCCGCCTCCCTAATCTATCACCAATAGATTCCATGGAGTCCGCCCATATCTACTCCTTTGATTCTAATGTATAAAATAAGGTGCTAACCTGACATTTTCTGGAGAATTTTTCAATCCATTGAGATTTTGCTTTTTAGCAGTTGCCATCAGTTTGGCCCAAATAAACAACAAAAATTCTCTACAGGTTCAAATATTTCTTACATTGACACTTTTAATGTGAAAGACTCACTTATAAATTATTATAAGGCATGTCTAGTGGTAATGTACTCTCCCAGCATATATATACATACATGTGTATATACATATATATGTACATATATATACACGTATGTATGTATATACATACAAATGTGTGTATATGTATATATAGGCCTTTATTTTCCTTCTTCTGAAACACAGTGTTACCAGATATAGTATTCTTAGTTATCAGCTTTCCTCTTTCAGCACTTTGAATATGACATCCCTCTTTTCTGACCTATAAAGTTTCTGTTGAAAAAGCTGTGGATAATCTTATGAGAGTTCCCTTCTACATGATGAGAGTTTGTTTCTTTTGCTACTTTAGAGATTTTCTCTTTGTCTTTAATTTTTGGGTGTTTGAGTATAACGTGTCTTAGTGTGGGCTTCTGCATTCATCCAACTGGGTATCTTTTAAGTGTGTGTTGACTTTGGATGTTTTTCTTCCTCATATTTGGGAAGATTTTTGCTATTATTTCTTCAAAACACTTCCTCAGCACCTTTTACTCTCTCTTTTCTCCTCCTTGGATTCCCACAATGTATATATTGACCTCATGGCCGTGTCCTACAAGTCTCTTAGAAAGTTTTTGTTTTATTTTTACTTTTCTTTGTTCTTTTGTTTTCTTCGATTCCATAATTTTAAGTAGCCTACCTTCAAGTTCACTGACTTTTTTCTTCTGTTTTATGAAGTCTTCTGTTAAAACACTCTAGGGAGTTATTCAATTCAATTATTATGTTCTTCATGTCCAATTTGTTTTTTAATATTTTTGTTAATATTTTCATTTTTTATGCTGAATTTTCCTTTATTTAGTTGTGTATCTCTTTCTCTAGCAATGCACTGAGCCTCTTTAATATGATTATTTTGAATTCACAGGTGTCTGTTTCCTTAGGGCTGGTTTTTGAAGGTTGGTTTTGGTCCTTTTCCTGGGGCACACTTTTCTGTTTCTTTGTATACCTTGTTATATTTGTGGTACATTGTATATTTGAAAAAATAGCCACTTTTTCCAATCTTTATGAACTTACAGCTTCATATGGAGGAAAACCTTTACCAATTATCTAAGCTAGAGTTTCTGGGGACCTATCAAATCTTTTATTGAGATGCATCTTTTTTTGTGTGTAAGTGTTCCCCAGTAGAAACACTTGCCAGTTTATCTTCCATGTGTGGGCAATCTCTTGCTCTCTCTAGTTGGTGTCTATCTGCAGCACTGCAGGTCCTGTTGACGGCAATAAGCCACTAGATTTTTTCTGTTCTCAGCAGCCCTCAGGCATTCGAAGTACATCAGCTTTCTGAAAAGGCAGAATGTTGGATGCATATTCCACTTTTCTCTCCCTCTCTGATGGAGAAGTATAAGCTGGATTCCTTCTGCTGATTGCTCTCAGCTAAGCCAGTTTAAAGGAAGGCCAGACACAGTTGAAATGAAATGGCTTTTCTTATTGTGGCTGTTGTTGGCTTTGGGCTATCTTAGGGCATTGCTAATTCTTAATTTGTTCCTAGAATTCTTATAAATTCTTTTGGAGTATATATTGTTAAATCAGTATCTCTCTGAGGGATTGAGTTGTGGGGTTCTATTCTTTTAGCGACATTGTTCCCCACTTACAATGCATTTTGGCAAATGTGTAAAATCAATGCAAGTGATGAAAAACTTACCTTTTTATAAATTGATGCTGAAAATATTGGACATGTTCAAACATAATTCTCACAACTTATATAAAATAATTCATTGTTATGAAATGAATATTTATATCCTTTTTAAATTCATATGTTGGACTCCTACCCCATATGTGATGGTATTGGGAAGTGGTAACTAAAATGAAAGGAGGTCTTTTGGGGGAGATTTGCCATGAATGAAATGGGTGCTTTCACAACAGCCATGAAGAGCTTTGCAATGAGAAGTCGGTCGTTTGCAACATAAAAAAGAGGACTTTCAGCATAACTGGACCTTGCTGGTTCCTGATCTTGGACTTCCAGCCTCCAGAATGTGAAAAATAAATTTCTACTTTTTTATAAGCCACTCATTCTATGATATTTTTGTTATAACAGGATAACAGATGGAAAAATTATGTAATTAAACAAAATGTAAAATGAAAACTTTGAGAAAAAATAGGAGAAAATCTTTTATAACCAAGACTAAGCAAACAGTTCTTAGACTTAAACCAAATCACAATTTATTTAAAACAATTGGTAGTTCATACTGCCTCAAAATTTTAAAAAAAGGTTGTTGTGTGAGAGGCCCTTTAAATAGTCTAAAAATACAAACTAAGACTAAGAGATAATATTTGAAAACCACATATCTCACAATAGACCAGTATCTTGAGTAAGTTAAGAACTATCAACCTCAACAATAAAATTAAGCCAACAATACAATTAGAGAATGGGTAAAAGTATGAAGGAATTTTTACCAGAGAGGATATGTAGTCAGCAAATAAGCACATGAAAATATGTTAGCCATGATGCATCCCTAGGGAAATGCAAATGTAAACCACAACGAAATTTCATGGCACGGGTATCAGAAGGGCCCAAATGAAAATCAGTGACAACAACAAATTCTTGCAGGGATCTGAAGAAAATGGATTTTCATACATTGCTAAAGGAAATATAAACTATTACAGCTATTATGCAACTGTACAGGTTTTTCAATACCATTTGCTGTAAAGATTATCTTTTCCTCATAAAGTCATTTGGAAGATTTGTTGAAAAATTAGTTGAATAGAAAAATTAGTTGACAATCATTTGAAAATACACACATTGGTGTGTTCCTTGTTCCTGTACCCTCTACTTCATTCTATTAATCTGCACTGATATATTATTGTAACAATATACTCTTGATCATTTATAATTTAGAGTAAAATTTAAAATTAAAATTTATGATTTTCTCCAATGTCATTCTTTAAAAAAACCTGTCATCTATTGTGTTAGATTGATTGCACTTGCATATAAATGCCAGTCTCCTGTTTCATTAAAATGATACATTTCTCCATTTATTAATTCTTTATTTATTCTTGATATTGTTTTATAGTATCACTATAGAGAAATATACTTTTAGAAACTACATTACTTTATGTTCTAATTTTAATAAAATTGTATTTTTATTTATTTACTAATAAGTTACTACTTTCAAGCTTTTTCACACATTTCCATGTATTGTCCTATGTCATATACCATCGCACAGAGAAAACTAACTTTTCTTGTAGTACAGGCAGTTCTGCTGGCAACCAAATCTCTAAGTTTTTGTGAGTGTAAAAACAGCTTCATTTTGTGTATATTTTTTCTTTTTTCTTTTTTTTTCAGGGGAGAGCATGAACACAGTCCCCCACTACCACAAATTATACAGTCGAGTTTCCAATATTCAGGGAAGTCTCAGGGGTCAGCATACCCAGAGTGCAAGGGGTGAGCCTCACCCTGGAAAACCACTTTTGTGATTGCAGAATCTCCTCTGCCAGGTAAATATTTATTTGGATAGATAATTTTACCAAATATAGAAATTTTAGTTGACACTATATTATTGTTTGTTTAGCGTATTTGAATAAGTCATATTTCGATCTTCTGGCCTCAATAGATTCTGATGAAAACTCCAATATTAACTTTCATAGCAAAATAAATTGTTCATTTTTCTATAAATACTTCAAGATTTTTCTCTTTCATGATTTTAAAAGATTTATTATTATGAGTTATATGTGGTGTATTTGCACTTTTGTCTTGTTTGTAATTTGTTGAGCTTCTTGGATCGACAAATTTGTGAAATTTGGGACCATTATTTATATCTCTTTTAGATTTTTTTGGGGGAACTCCAACTACTTATATATTGGATACTTGATATTTCCTAATGTTTCTGAAGCTTTGCCAATTTTTATTTGATCTTTTTTTCTTTCTATTATTTAGATTGTGTTATTTTCCTAATTTAGTTTTAAGTTTGCTGATTATTCTATTCACTCAGGTCTGATATTAAACCAACCTTGTTATTTTTTACCTTTATAGTTATTCCTATTTTTCAGCATTTGATTGAGTTTTGCATGTTTTTTTATTTCTCTGTTGAGGTTTTCCTTCTATTAACACATTAAAATCAGCTCACACTAATTTTGTGCATATGTCCCTATAATCCTTTGAACACATTTATATAATTTTTGGCTGATGAATTAAACGTGGGTCCACTCGGTTTTTATTGGTCTTCTTTTTTCTTTGTTATGAATGACACTTTCCCTTTTCTTTGATGGATGGAGCTATTTTTGGTTGAAAAATGGACATTGTGAATCACACATTTTTCTGGCTCTAGATTCTGTTTTGTGCTCTTTGTGGTTTTCTTGCTCTTAAGGAATTTTTCCTTGATTTTCAGTTGCTCTACTAGCTTCAAGGGTTTGTCCCAAATTAGTAAGGCTTCTATTGTCTGTCGCCTGGGAGGTGCACAGTTGGGGACTGCTCTCAGTTAAAAAAACAAAACAAAACAACAACAACAAACCAGCAAAATCTCAGATTACATCCAGTGCAACTCTATCTTTAAAAAGTAGTGTCCTCATAATTTTTTCCAGAAATTCTTCTGCCCTTCCTGCTGGCTTTCCTATGATTCTGCAATTTAGTTGACAGCGAGGAATGTGGGCAAGTTTATACCCCTCTTTCTGTTATTCTCTACCTGCTACATTTTGCTCTTTAACTTTTATATTTCCATTTTGGCACTAAATTATATTCTCTGGCATCTTCAGTTCATAAATATGAGATTTTCCTCTGTGTATTTTGTAATATCCTTGGGGGTTTGGGGGAAATATTCAGGCCGGAAAATCACAGACTTGCAATTCTTACTTTCTTATTGCATTATTTTAAAGAATAAACTCTCTCTAACTCTCTTCTTCTTTTGACTGTTTTCAAGTTTGTTTTAAATTTATATGCAAGAGGGGTCAAATTATCAATGCTACTTAACGTTCTCTAAATGTAAAATATTTATGCCAAGAAAAACAATTAAATCATCATATACATTGATTTAGTGAATATTAGAAGAATTTTCACTTAATAACACTCTTCTAGAAATAAGTAGAAGAAAGAATTCTAGAATTCAATTTTAAAATTTACTTAAAAAATTTACACATTATATCAAACCTGGTACAGTGAGCCTTCAGGTTTCTTGCCTGAAAGATACACACATCCCTCACCTGGGAGGCCACGAAAGCTTTCCTATGGCCACCTCATGTTCTAGCCTTGTGTTCTATCTGAATCAGAGGAATGTTGAAGAAAAATCATAGTGAACAGACTATATTACATTGCCATTGATCTTATAAATAATTGCATGACACATAAAGAGGCCACCAATATAATTTTTGCTAAAGAATTTAGACTTAAAACCTGTTTTGCTAATTATTATTTTTTTTTAAGTCAGAGAAAAGAGTACCTTGGAGACAGATTCAAGGGGTTAGCCTAGGACAAGCTTCCACTATCCTTTGTTCCCCTGGTCACAAGTCTCATGGGTACTCACAGAGTTTAGGAGAGAGAAGTGAAAATGCACACCTGAGAGGGAAGAAAGCTGTGGGTGTATTTCAGAGAGAACCTGATAGCTGTATCTTACATGAGTGGCAAACACTGTTCTTGGGGATTAAGCAAGTTTCCCCAACCCCATTTTCCTATATTTTATATTCTGTTGTAAGTTTTCTTCATTTATGCAGAATAGTTATGATTTTTGTTATATTTAATAGCTAAAAAATGCAGTCCCTTTGGGAATCTTAAAGAACAGAGTCTCAGCATTTTTCATTTACTCAAGCATTTTTTAATCCAGTGGTTATATATCAAGAAAATCCATGTAAATAATTAATGTCACTTATTCACTGAAAGTGAAAATATGTAATACCTTGCAGATCCAGAGTGTAGTGTCCTTACCTTCTGTGATGTGTATTGTATGAGGCAAACAGTATAAGAATAGAAGAAAATGCTAAAAGGTATATATTGAGTTCTATTAAAGTATAAAGAATGGAATAACTAATTGTGCCTGTCAAGAATGATTTAGAATAATCTGTCAACATAAGAGACATTCACTTCTGTGAAGAATTTTTGGTGAGTTTACTTGAGCCAAACTGACAACACTTGCCAGTAAGCAAAATCTCAACAAATTGAGAAGCGATCTGGGAAATGGCAGTTTAGCACCTCATTTTATACATTGCAACCAAAGGAGGAGACATCAGGGGGGTTACATGGAATCCATTGGTGATAGATTAGGGAGGTGGGAGAAAGCAAAGGTGGGGCTGGGGGCAGGCTCTGGTATTAGATGAAAGGTAAAGTAATAGAAATATACTTCTTTTTAAATATTTTAATTATTTATTTATCTTTAGAGAGGATGGGAAGGAGAAAAGGAGAGAAATATCAATGTATGGTTGCCCCTAGTGGGTCCCCTGCTGGGAACTGGCCTGCACCCCAGGCATGTGCCCTGACTGGGAATTGAACCGCGATCGTCTGGTTCGCAGGCCCGTGCTCAATCCACTGGGCTGTGTCAGCCAAGAGAAATATACTTGTTTTAGGCAGGTGAGTTAAGGATAGTTAAGACTCCACAATTAACATGATACCAATGACAATGAGGGGATTTCTGGCCTCAGCTCTGGTGGTTGTGCCCAAGGGTTTTGAGAAAAAGGGAAGTTACCCTGAAGTTCCAAAGGTATGTTATCACTGATGCAAAAACACAGAAGACAGGCTCCATTAAAGTAAGGATGGGTCTTTTTATAAGGAAAAACACCAGCCTAGGATATGTCTACCCACCATGAACTGCGTTTAGTTCATGTTTTAATTTCGGATCATCCTTTGTGGTTTCTCTGAGTTTTGCAAGGCTGCTTCACATGCCTCCCCTGAGCTTGTCAGGTAAATGTGTGGCCCGTTTTTTCCCACAAATCTTCATGGGTAAGCGACTTACTCAGATGTTTAAAGGAAGAAGAAAATCTAATCAGAACAGATACATAAATGTGTGCAACTTTTTTATATCAATACCAGCTCAATAAAGTATATATATATATATATATATATATATATATATATATATATTTTAATTAAAGAGGAATAAAAACACCGTGCAAACCAGAGAGTAAGAAAAGATTTTCTGGGAAAAGCAGAGTGAAAGAAAAATATAGAAAATTTTAATAAGATGAAATAAAAAGACATTTCCCATTATCATATTTTCCCCATATCATAAATTAACTGAAATATAAACTTTACTAAAGGCTGCATTGGTATATATTCTATAATTATTGGTATTTTTGTTATGAAACAATCTCCCATAAACTCCATTCTTTTCTCCAATGCAATAAGAATCAGAGATCAGCAAATCTATTAGTGTGGAAGTGGGGCTTATTGGTGACCCATTTCCATGGAAGAGAATGCCTAGTTAAGGTAGGGGTTGGCGGTGAGAGGCATAGGTTCAGGGTGAGCAGGGTAAGGGTGTAGATGGTAAGGGCTGACAAAGGTCAAGATGGCAACTGGGCACATGGCCAGAGGCCAGGCTGCCTGAGGCCAGGCAGGCAGAAAGCCAAGAGCTTCAGGTCCAAGTCCTTTGTTCTAAGGACCACGTAGTTGGTTGGACAAGGGGTGAGACTGGAAGAAGCTACAGGGACAGGTGGTGCTAAGCTTTCCAGGACTGGGGCATGACTACTGAAAGGTATTACTAATTAGCTTATTCCTTTAGGTACTGTTACAGAACAGGGCCAAGGGGGGTACAATATACTGTTATTGAAAGGACCCCCCACTAGGTTCCCTTGTCCACCACCAGAATAAAGACGGCTCAATGCCAGAGATTTGTGAAAAGAAAAGGAAATATTTATTTAAAGCTATACAGACTTAAAGTAATGACCTGATGTCTTCATTTAAAATATCAAAGTCCTTTAGGATACCCACAGATGCACATAGTCCTTCCTCCTCCCTCTGCCCTAAACTGGGGTACCATATCTCAGGAAAAGTAGTGATCCAGGCTCCTGGCACTATCAGCAGTGTCACCTCTAGGATCTTCAGTTAATCCAAAGCCATGTGGCACCTTCTCATGGCCCACCAACGAAAGTCCTTGCACCCCTCTTCCAGGCAAAGTCTTTCCTGGTTCCTAGGCCACATGGCCAAAGGGAGCACCCCAAAGCTGCGTGGTTCTCTTCTACCAAAGTTGGGGGGTCCCCACTCTGGCCAAAACTGTGTGGTTCTCCCCTCAACGGCTGCCATGTCTGGGTTTAAATTTCCTCACCAGCCTTCCTCTGTACCCCCCATTTCTAACTACTCCTATAATCAGTTATGCTTGCCAGCATTCCTATATTATTCCAAGTTTACTGGGCTGCCACTGTGAGTCTGGGCAGGTATGGCCCCATTTCATGGAGCCAATCTTCTCCAAGCTCTCACACAGGTGCTGTAACCAGGGGGAGCTGCCCCCCAGTTACCTCTTGGGTGGAAGTCACTTCTATCCCCCTGGCTCAAAGCATGGTCACAGCTATTTACCATATCTATGCAACC